GAATGAACTCCATGCAATGAACTTTCCTCTTGGAACTGCTTTCATTGTGTCCAAGAGATTTCCATATCTTGTGTCTATGTTCTCATTTACCTCTAAGAATTTTTTAATCTCCTTGACGTCTTCTGCAACCTAATGTTCATTCAGTAGCATACTGTTTAGTGTCCAGGTGATGGAGAAATTTTTATTTTTTATTTTGTTATTGATTTCTAATTGCATTTAATTATGATCTGATAAAATGCATGGTAATATCTCTACTTTTTTGTATTTGTTTAAAGTGCTTTGTGGCATATATTATGGTCTATTTTAGAGAAGGATCCATGTGCTGCTGAGAAGAACGTGTATCCATTAGATGCCCGTTGAAATATTCTATATATGTCAGTTAAGTGTAAGTTATTGATTATATTATTGAGTTCTATAGTTTCTTTATTCAACGTTTATTTGAAAGATTTATACAGTGATGAACGAGGTGTGTTAAAGTCACCCAAAATTATTGTGTTGTGGTGTATTTGACTCTTGAACTTGAGAAGAGTTTGTTTGATGAACATTGTTTGGGGCATATATATTTATGATTGTTATGTCTTGTTGGTGTATGGTTCTCTTGAACAGTATGTAATGTCCATCTTTATCCCTTTTGATTAACTTGGCTTAAAGTCTACTTTATTTGATACAAGGATGGAAACCCCTGCTTGCTTTAGCAGTCCATGTAAGTGGTATGATTTTTCCCAACCTTTCGTCTTCAGTCTGTGCATGTCTTTTCCTATCAGATGAGTCTCGTGAAGGCAGCATATTGTTGGGTCTTTTTTTTAATCCAGTCTGCTAGCGTATGTCTTTTGGTGAGTTTAAACCATTAACATTCAGGGTTATTATTGAGACATGGTTTGTATTTATAGCTGTATTTGTTTATTTTTTTCAATTAACTTGACTTGATTTTCTTCTTTGACTAGTTTTTCCTATAGGGTACTACCTCCCTCTGCTGATTTTCATTGTTGTTTTTCGTTTCCTCATCATGGATTATTTTGCCAAGGATGTTTTATTGTGCCAGTTTTCTAGCTATAAATTCCTTTAACTTTTGTTTATTGTGGAAAGTTTTTATTTCATCTTCAAATCTAATGCTTAATTTTGCTGGATACAAGATTCTTGTTTGGC